TCGGTTTTCCAAGTGGAGTGTATCTACACCCGTTCAATCTGATAAACTTCTTGACAACGTATCGTCGTCGAATTTAAAACTTGCCACATCAAGTAAACCATGGCTTCAACTTGATTCCATCAGCATCGTTCGCTCTAGGAAATATACACTCGGCGTCGAGGTTTCTCGCACTACGCGACAAGTGTCCCCCCCTTCGCATGTCCAGGGCAACATCCTGGTGATGCATCGTTCGCGGCCTTGCCATTCGTCATTTTTCATCGCCATGCAACTGCTGCTCCCAATTGCGACCACGCTGGCCGCCCTCGCATGCGTCCACGGGAGAGTTCCTATTCCGACGGCTCCGCTCGGTTTCACGTACGGCCAAGGGTCGGCGAATGCGACGGTACAGCTCGATGCTTTTGTCGACCTTCTCTGTCCCGACAGCAAGGCAGCGTATCCTGCCCTGAAACAACTTGCGGAAACCTTGCCAAATCAGTTCCTACTGCGCTTTCACCAATTTCCATTGCCATACCACCACCAAGGATTCCCGATTGCTCAAGCGACGCATACGATCACGCATGCATTGGGACGGGATACGTTTGTCAAGTGGCTGGAAACTGTCTACGACGTACAAGACGAGTGAGTGTTACGATCATGTGCATCGAATGCGATCGTATTCACTTCGACATTGTGTGCAGGTATTGGAACAAACAAACGGAAGACATGGGTCAAAAGCAAGTCACGGCAAAGATTGAAGCGTTGGCAAAGTCGACGTTCCCATCTCTCACGGATGCTCAGTGGAAGGACGGCATGACCGGCCATGGAGGTACCAAACGGGACTTGGACACCCGCACGGAATGGAAGCATGCATGCACTCGAGGCATCTCTGGCACGCCGCAATTTCTTCTCAACGACGTGCCCATCAACGTGGACACCACATGGACGTACGACGACTGGATGGGTTTCTTGGAGCCGTTGTTGGATGTTCAAAACGAAGCCACATTGAAGGTGGGCTCGAACATACCACCCACGGTAGAAGAAGAGACCACGGCATCGCTCAATCGTAACAGTAAGTTGCCACGTTCGTCTGATGCTGCGTCCATGAAATGGAATGTCGCGGGTTACGTCGGAGCGAGCTTGGGGCTGGGGTTCGCATTGTATTGACGATTTGACTGACAAGGAAGTCCTGCGTTTGCAGAACGCTGAACTCGTGTACATTTAAGGTTCATCATAATTGGCTTGTGCGGGTGTGTTTACGTGCTAAGACTTGATTCAGCAGGGTACTCGAAGGCACTTTATCGTCAGCAGTCACTTGTCTCCCGTCGCCGGCAACTACAGCCCCAAGACTAGGATAGAAATGCATGGCAAGCTAACGTGCCGTGGAACGGACCAGTTGGCAACAATGACGGCTGTGCGAACATGGGTGCATCAATACAGCTATATTCATACCACGAATGCGACGTCGTAGCTTCGCCCCTGCTTGGAATGTTTCGATTACAGCTCGATCTTTTCCGTCGCAAATTCGTCTTCTTCCTTCTCGGCCACCCTTTGCTCCTTGCTGACGTCCGTCGTCGGCTTCGTTGCCTTCTCGACCTGAACTTCGTTCTGCAAGAATGCACGAGTCAGAGGCATATCCACGACACAACCAAGGCGAGCTGTACCACGACGGGAAGCGGCACCTCATGCGAGCGGATCGTGACGGACGACGGGAATTCTTCGCTGAAATGCACAGTCAACTTGGATGCTTTGTCAGCGACGCGATTGTCAAACGTGGCGGCTTCGTGGCCGACAATCGTGATGCGGAATTGATGTTGGTGGGGCAAAAAGTACGACGTCGGGTACAAGTTGAACGTCGCTTCGTACACAACGTTCGGCTCGATCGTCTGTGTCCAAAGTGCCCATGAGATGGCGCATCATTCCACAAAGGTTCACGTACTCGCGACGCATCCTTCTTGAACGTGTGCAACGGGTTGCCCGGCGCGATCGATTGATGGATCGGGTTGAGCACGCCTTCCGTAATGTATGTCGTACCACCGCGAACCTTGGTTTTGGTGGCGACGAGGGTCGAGTGTACGATCGGAGGCACGTTGTTGAAATCTTCCAAGTACGCAACCAAGCTCACGCCGGGGGCATCCACTGAAAAGTACAGCTTGACCGTCATTTCACCCGTCACTTCTTGCTGGTGGAGCGGCGGGGTTGTGAACGTAATGGCCTTCGTCACCAAGTCGTCGCGGTTGTACGCGTACGTGGGCTTGTTCAGGAAAATGTGGTCCATCGCGTGCCACCGGTTCACCACGTTGTTTTGCGTGTTGAAGTCCGCGGTGAAAGTCGCCGACGCCGATCCGTCCACAACATCCGCTGCATGTTCGACCAACGTGTTGTTCAAGCTGAAGAGGTACGTGTGTGTTTCGTCGATCGAAGCGGGCGGCCACGTCGTTGCGGTGCGCCACTTGCTTTCCGTCACTGTATAGTAATGGATCGGGTCTTCGTCTTGGAGCTGGGTCAATCCGGCGCGGTCCGCGTTGTACACGTGGTAGTCAAAGAAGCGCGAGATTTGCTCAATGTGTTCGAAGCAGCGAGTCTTGCCCTGCGCACAACACCCATCACAAATAATCCATCTCGTCGTCGACGGCGGTTTTGTACCTCGGCATACGGGTCGATGTTGTCCACGTTCGAGTGACTCCAAGGTCCCAAGATCAAGTGGTATTGCGTCGACGGTACAGACTTGGCAGGAAGAGGCGCCAGGCCATACGCCACGTGAGATGCATCGTCCAACGTGCCCGTCAAATACCTACGCAAGTCAAATCCATCAGTACCGGGTGTGCCTCCAACCAACAATTCCGACGACGCATACCGGTGCAAGACCGTCGCAGCGCGAGACGCCCCCATGTCGTAGTACCCAGCCATGTTGAGCACGGGCACGTTCGACTCGGCCAATTTTTGAAACAACCGCGGGACGTTGATTTGTTCAAAGGTCAAATCCAACGACGATAACCTACGACGACACACGACATGAGTTGGCCAGAGGACGTCGAGAGGATGGAGAAATGTGGTCGCACTTGTCGTCACGGAACAAAATGTCCTTGGTTTCCTCGTGAAAGTTGCCGTTGTTGACATGCTCAGCGACAGCGGCAGCATGAACCTATCCACCAAACCGTGAGCGGCTCGTCAGAAGCAAGTACTTCGTACGTGAGGCTCGCTCTTGTTCACGGGGGCGACGTTACCGCCGAAAGTGGTCATCATGAGGCGAGACTTCAAGTGCGGCACTTTGTCCCAACGCTTGTTGGCATCCGTGGCAGCAGAAAAACCAGCATACATGGACGACGCGCGGTAGTTGTGGAGCCCACCAGGGAAGAAGGCCGAGTCGAACAAATCCAATGGCACACCGTGCAAAGCAAGAGCTTTCACAGCCTGGATGGGCGCGTGAGCTCAAAGGATAATGCTGAAATGTGCATACCTTGTGGCCGCTGGTAGCAGCAACGACGGCAGAGACACCATCTGTACCGAAACCAAACAACGACACTTCACCATTCGACCAGCTTTGCTTCAGGACCCAGTCAATGACATTCTTAGCATCAGCAGCTTCTTGGTCGACGAAATCAAACTCTTTCTTGCCGAAAGACGCGCCTGTGCCTCGAATGTCGACAACGAGCCATGCGTACGACGTCGTGACAATGCTGGTTCATCGTAAGCGCCACAAACTTTCTGGATTGTCGAAAAGTTTACATACCGAGGAATGTACGATCCAGTGCGAGGGTTGATGAAATCCCCACCGGCGGTGATCTTCGACAGGGGAAAGTCCAAGGTGTAGCCACGTCCGTGGCGGGTAAAGTGGATGACGGTGGGTTGTTTCAAGTCGTTGTACGTGGCTTGTTCAGAGTAATACAAATCAGCGGCCAATTTCGTGCCGTCGTCTAGCCCAATGAAGTGCGACGTGCGGTGGATCGACTTGGGGTGGAAATACGGGTCCGACTCGTACGGCTTGCCGAGCCATGTCATTTCGTTCACGCCTTCCTTGCACACGGCGGGGGTTTCGAACCCAAAGTACGAGTTCACAGCATTCTGGACCACCACCATGAGGACCATGGAGATGATCATGTTCGACATGAACCCCGACATCGTGGCAGAGTGCGGCCCGCCGGGTTTCTTTGCAAATGACACTGATCACCTCACAGTTTTCCTCCGATCAGGCATGTTGATCCGTGGATATATTCATTCTCACAGGTTTCCTACCAAACCTTGAACTTGGGCCAGCTGGGCCACGGCGATGCCCAATCCAGCCTCCCGTCGCCGTGCAATCTGGTCGCGCTGTCGACTCCACATGGATTTCCCTCGTCTTCGCCAACGTCACGGCGGTGCCAGGGACACCCACCCCCCTCGCGATGTCGCGTCGATGTCTCCTGCTTTGAAACATCCTCGCCCTTCAACTTGCAATGGCCCCACCTTATCGTGTGAGCCCGTGACTAGTTGAGAAACTCGAAACGGAGCGGATGCCCCCTGGAGACATGGAGCGAGCATGGCGCGGCACGGCCAGAGGTCGTCCGCCTTGTGTTGATCGGGAAAATGGTTTGATTGGTGGAAAAGACATTCAATATTCACTTTATCTAAGAAAATGATTGGTTGAATTCGAATACCAAGAGATATCGTTGAGGAGGAGCGACATCCTCCGCCGGTACAAGCGGGGGGACTGTCTCCTGTCCTGCTAAAACTGTGAAATCCGTTCAACAATCGGACCAACCAAAGCGTGCCACCACGTCTCGACACCGTCGAGGAAGCCAATCAAATCTTTTTATTTTGCAATTGCCAAGACATTTTATCCAATCAAAGGGTCCTATTCAGTTGTCATTACCAACAAACTGATGTTACATTAATTCCCAGCGCCGATGGGTGAACATTCGATGGGGACCTACCACCAGAGGACCATGGGATGCATGCGCGCACTAGCTGCCTCGGGCGACAGAAGGATACCGTCGGTCCCGCTTCTCCATGCACGTCGAATTTCACTGTAATCGACAGGATACGACGGAAGCAACGGCCCCGGTTGTAGGACGGCAATCACATGCATGACACGCCTGTCGTGAGAATGCGAAGGACGACGCAAGCATCAAGTTCGATGACGCGTGCAAAGTCGTGTAACACGATGCGTTCAAGGAAATGGTGTGACGTCGTCCGCTGTAATTCTTTCATGCAACGAGAACTGTCCATGTGTCGGGAACCAGACTACGTGCGCGGTGGTGGTTGTGACGACTGTGGGATGCACGGCTAGGGCATGATCAACGCGTCTCCCGAGACGTGTCGCGAGCGTGTTCCTGCGTGGTCTCATCGTCGTGTCTACGGCGATTCAGTCCGACTTCCATCACGTGCATGGGTGTGTGTGTGCCATGCCATCCGGCGGTGGCGCAGCCGCGGGTTCCTTGGCGCCATCGCTCGATCTGCCGAAATTCTCCATACTGAATCTCAGTCAAATCGAGTTCTTCTTAAGAAATAAATTATTACATACCAAAATCAAGTACATTCGTTGGCAATGAAAAATTACCCTTTAACAACCGACTTCGAACAAGAGGTGCGGACTGAGCAGCAAGCACTCCACCTCCCAGCCCGCTTCCGCCGCCCGCGACAATGATTCCGGCACCAATCGCGCCGACGCCAGCACCGACTGCTTCTCGGTCACTCTATCTCACAGATGCCCAGCAGACAGACATGTACGTCGCTCACGAGCTCCGTTGTTCATCTTTGGCCACACCTGCAAAAACAGCTCACGTGCTTACGTAGATACCATCAATCACGGAATCACGCAGTGTCGTTCCTCCAAAACTCGCTCAGTGATCTGCATGAATGGGAGTTCATCTCGGAAAAGAAGAGTGTGCAATTCTACCGCAAGAAGAGCAATGACGGCACGACCTACACGATCAACGGCATCACACGCATCGTGGCAGACTTGGACGAGACCATGCGCACGTTGTACTGCGAAGACACAACAGCACTCAGCGACTTGTTCTCTCAACTTCATGACGATGCCTTTGCCGACGGCGCCGTCCTCGCTGCATTGCCAGCCAAACGCGATCCTTCCGGTATGTCCTTTGCACCTCCCATCAATTCCAAAGTAAAGGGAATGCTACAGGCATCTGCCGCGAGCAATGTAGCATCAAGAACTTATCGTTTCGTCCATTCAACGCGATGGACAAAGCGCGCCAGTACACGGTCGTTGACTACTGCACGATCCGAACGGGCAAGGCCGAGGAAGGCAACTGCGGCGACACCACAGACAACCGCCTCGGCATCCAACTCATGTACTCGACGGATGCAGTGGACCCGACGGCCGCCACTTCCACTCGCCGTCTTGCATCCTCGTCGTCCCTAGCAACTGCAACTTCCTCCTTTGACGAATCGAGTGCGAGCCAACTCCTTCCGTCCGGGTTCATCGTGTACCCCACGGCCAAGAAAGGTGTGCTGGAAGTTATATTTTCGTGGTCTGCGCACGACCCGCGCGGCATCTCTCGCGGCTACAAGAAAAGCATCCTGAGTCTTGTGGCGAGCGTTGCACGGCTCGAGAACATTTTTCTGGCGCTGCGGATCGCCGCCGCCGGGTTCATCAAGTCGAAGAACTGGGT